GTGCTTTTGAGCTATCTGTTAACTAGTGAATCGTACAGTAAAGTACTTAAAAATATCAAACAATTACTTAAATTAAAAGAAAATTAAATTATTACATTCTGTAATTATATTTGCTATCTATTGCCAGGAATAGTGATTTTCCAAGCGAGGAAAGTGAGGATCGAACTCACTACTCAGTCGTAATTTTTTTAACGCGACAAGCTTGTTAACCATTACACCACCTCGGGGAGACTAAAACTCTTGCCAGTAATATGTACAGTACATGCATTCTGTAATTACTAAGATATACACATTTTTCCACAAAAATTTTAATTGTACACTTTTTTCCATATTTATTTTTTTTGAAGATTGTATTTATTCATTATGAAAATTAAATGATAACAATATATTTGTGGGTGGACATCTTTTGTCTCCTAGCAACAAATTTTTAGACTCAGTCCACCAACAATATATATATATATATATATATATATATATATATATATATATATATATATATATATATATATATATATATATATATATATATATATATTGTGAGTGAGTCAGAGCAAAAAAGAAAGGGAATTGTCTGTCTACATTTTTGTGTAAATTCAGGAAGTTGAGTTTGAAATTTAATAATTAATAAAAATATTTTCCTTTTTTGAGAATATATTTATTTTTTGAAAATTTGTGTGTGTGTGTGTGTGTGTAAAATAGAGGGAAGCTAATCTGAATGAATGCCTATTTGTGTGGCTTTTCTATTTTTTCTCTTTCATCTTGAAAAAAGAGACCTTTTCTATTTTTGTCGCTGTTATTACGTAGATGACTTGCGTCACGGGGTTGATTACAAGGTTGAATCCGATGAATGAGACAGCAACAACACACACACACTCACCCCTACAAACAGACACGCACACACAATTTCTTCTTCTTCTTCTTCTTCTTCTTCTTCTTCTTCTTCTTCTTTGTGTTGGTCCCTTCGGTACATAGACGGTCATGGAATTCTTAAAATGTTTTGTCCCTTGTGGTCCTCAGCATTTGCTTTTTAATCTGTGAAACTAAAACCCCAGTATTGTTAAGTCATCTATTCTTGCTTCTGCTTTTAATAAGCCTCGTGACCGTTATGTTTTCCAAGACTTCCTTCCTTTAGTCCAAGGAATTCAAGCTGTCTTTTCCTGATTCAGAATATAAGTGTTCTTTCCGTTGCCATTTTTTTAAAAGACTTCCTTGTTGCTTACTCGCTCCGTCCATGGAATTCTCAGTATCCTTCTGTAGAACTCATTTCTAACGCATCTTTTTTGTTCCACATTAATAGGGAAATTGTCCAACATTCATTTCCATATAAGAAGTTGTGTACCACATAGCAACCCAGCACCCTTTTCTTTGTTTCTAATTAATTTTTTACGTTTCTCATCACTTTGCTTAGCTTTTGGAAGGCATCTTTCTCACGTCCAATGCGTACTTCGGATTTCGGTGTCACATTTTCCTTCCTCTGTTAAAACGCTTCCAAGATAATTTGAAATTCTTCATCTTCTTTATGATGACATCACCAATTCGTAACTCGCATCTTGGTTTTTTCTATTACTAATAACTATATTTTCTCTCTTCTTAGACCAAGAGCCCCTCTTATCCTTAAAGTTGAATAAGGGCGACAGCAAACAAGACTCAACAACTATGGTTTGGTTGGTTTGGTTTGGTTTGGTTTGGTTTGGCATTTAAGTACAAGACTTTTAAGACAGGTTCATAGGAATATGAATATGAATTCTTTGTAGGAAAACAGTTTGGTTTGGTTTATTTTTTTACGGCATATCAATCTCAAAGGATTATTTAATAGCGACAAGACTCTTAGGATAGGTTCATATAAATATAAATATGTATCCTTTGTAGGAAAACAGCTTGATTTGGTTTATTTTGTTTTACGGCATTTCAATCTCAATGTGTTATTTAATGCCGACAAAATTTTTATTCCTGGTAAATGGACAAGGATAGAAAAATTCATTACTGTGAATAAGAAAAAGAAAAAAATGTAAAATTATTAAAGTCTATTTTTACACTTTCATAGTGTTTTGACCCCTTTTGTGGGTATTAACTATTTACCCGTGGCTGGGACCCTTACAGGTGCTACCACCCCGGGTCAGGGTGGACCTGGGAACACCAGCAATTAAGAGGTGGCTCCACGCTCCTCAAAACCTCCTGCTCAGAGTCCTTGCTGTTGGACAAAGTCTATCGTCTTACCAAGGACACCTCATTCGGGAAGCGGGGGGGGGGGATCTCACCCCTCTGCGGCAGTGCAGTTGGCCTATTCTGAAGCCCGTCTAATGATTTTTTTGTAGATTATAATAGTTTAGCGATACAAGTCTTACTAATTAACCCATAGCTGGAGGAGAAGAGGTTGATTCACATCCCTCCCAAGAGTTTTTCCACGTAAGTGAACTTAACGAACCTAACGTGAATCGGAACTCGGCTCTCCGATTAAAAATTCCGTTCAGTTATCCATTACACCACCCACACATCCAGGCTTACAGCACCTGGTATTCCCAAGCGGTCACCCATCTAGGTACTGACCAGACTCGACGTTGCTTAACTTTCGTTATCGTACGGGTGCCGGTGTTTCAACGTGAGGTAGCCGTAACCCATGCAATGTGTTATATCTTTTCTTCCGTCTTTTCAGGCAGTCAAAACGGAATGGTGTGTTATTTATCTAAGGCAATGGCAGTAGAGGAACAAGCAAAATTATAATACGAAAATCATCTTTGAAGTTTTATCTGTGGAAAAATGTGCGCCTTATACATAAACGAAACATGGATAACAAATCAATTATACAAGACAATAAAAAAAAAAAAACTTTTTGAAAATGAAAAAAAAAGTTTATGGAAGGAAAGAATAAGATAAAGGTTGAAATACAAAAGGCTCCTCACCCACCGAATAGAGAAACGAAAAAAAAAAAAAAAAAAAAACGCCTTTGCTCTTTTCTTTGCAATTTAGTCCTCTCTGGGCAGAGAATTCTTTTTTCGATGCAACAATAAACTACAGAACTCAAAATTGATCGCTGCATTTAAGTATTGCATTAATATTTAAGCTTAAGTTTTAAAAGTTCAACGATAATTCTTCTGCCGCCATTTAATTTAAAGATAATTTGATGTACGTAGGTCCTTACTTTCCATATAAAGAATTAC